TTGTTATTATTATTCGCATTTTTATTGGTTTTATGATTTCTTTTATGAAACGATTATTTATCACGTTTTTTCCCCCTGCAGTTACGCGGGAAATGTACTTTCAGTGTAAAGGCTTTTTTTCATGTCATAGGAAGGTGCAAGATAATGTCCATGCGGCCTCGGCGAATTTGTTTTTCTTCCAAGCAGCTAAAACGTAAATGTAGGGCACCTGGCTCATGGCAAGACAGAAGCCAGTCATAGATATAATTTGCATGATCACTCTCCACGCCCGGGCTCCAAGGCTTCGGTTTAATCAGCTGCAGATTGGTTATAACGCGCGTGTCTTTCGCCGCAGCGGCAGGGACAGGAGGATGGTCGAAGGCTGTCCGAAGGCAGGTTGATTCCTCGCCAGGTGGGTCTTTGCTGAGCCAGAGACACACAAATGCAAGCACAGGTATAAACACACACAAATTCACATTTATATTCACACGCATGTACATGCACGCACATACACACACAGTATCACACTCACACAGTCTTGAGACGCGCGCGCGCACGAGCACCTTAATAATGCGTGTATGATTAATGCACAGAAGCTGCTTGCGAGGCCCGGGCGGCGAGGCGAGGCGGCCACAGGGTCCGCGTGGCTGTCAATAATGCGAGCCACTCCCGCCGTGGCCGCCGCCGCCGCCACCACGTCCGTGCGCTTTTTACCCGGATTGTTTTATGATGACTGCGCTGCTGCTTATCTGCCACGGGGCGGCTTCTGTTGGCCTCACGAGCGCCAGGTGGAGGCGGCCTCGCTCGCCCCGACCTGGCCAGCCCGGCTCGGCCTGGTTGCAGCCGGACGGGCTTTTTGAGAGAGGTTTTGCCCGCTGTCGGGGACGGGGACGGGACGGGGGGGGACGGGACGGGGGCTGGACGGGGGCGGGATGGGACGGGACGGGCTGCTAGTGTGAACGGGAAAAAAGTTGTGCCAGTGAACGGCGGGGATGTTTGGCCCATCCATGATGAGAAACGCCGAGTGAAAGTTGGGTTGGAACAGCCTGGCCGAAGGCAAGATTCACTTTTACAGTGTGCTTGAACTCGAACGAAAAGCATAAAAAAGAAATAAAAGTCAAGGGAGGACTTTCATTTAGAAAATATATAATATTAGATAAATAAAGATAACATGAAGTTGCCATATTCCACTGAGGCGGACACAGATACGATCGCACACACGAAAGAAATTCCAGTAGCCGGTCCTCATTCCAGCGGGGAGAGGAACGAGGCGCCGGACCTCAAGCACTCCGCGGCGGGGCCTCATCCCCCACCCCCCCCCGCCCGCCTCCCCGCCCGACCCACACGCAGGCGGCGCAGGTGCGGAGCGTCCCTCCGTCAGGCAGTGCCGTCGTCGCGCGCGTGCCCCTTGCCCCCGCCGCGCTTGGCCTCCGTGGGTATGGGCGAGGACGGGCGGGCGGGCCGGGGCTGGCGGGGTCCGGCGCCCACTAATATGGAGAACGAGTTTCGCCACCTCGTGTGTGCTATTAGGCGAGGGCGAGGGAGAGTGAGGTGGGCGCTGCTGTTGCTCGCCTCTGCGGGGGCTGCGCTTGGGGCCCTCGGCGTCGCAAGGGCACGGCGGGCCGGGGGGGGGGGGGTTCTTCTTCGCTTCGGTTCTCGATGGGCACCTCTTCGTCTCTGTCTGTGTCTGTCTGTCTCTGTCTCTCTCTCTCTCTCTCTCTCTCTCTCTCTCTCTCTCTCTCTCTCTCTCTCTCTCTCTCTCTCTCTCTCT